GAATGAAGTTTTAATTCATGTAGATTTTAGGGAAAATTACTATTTAAAATATGGCGAGTAAATTCAATCCTTTCATTTTGGAGGAAGTAGACAACAAATTACACTTCATACAGCCGAAATCTATTTGATATCAGAAGAAACTTCTAAACTTACTACTTATACTTTTTTACTCTTAGTGAAAGTATACAGCACAATGCTACCTCAATATGGGCACATTTACAGCTATTGCTTCAGTTTGTGCAAAATACATCACCCAGTATTAATATTTTAAATTTTTTGTCTGACTCTCCATCTAGGGGAGGTTGGGGCAAAGCGGCCACTCGGGGCAAAGTGGTATTTTCCATTATCCTAACAAGCGCATGAGCACCGTAAGCACAAATACACATATTAGTTCCCTGTCGTTAGCTGAACTAATCAGTCTGTATTGAATCTCAGAGCAATGCACATGTAAGTGGTTAGTGTGTCTGAAAAGTTTTTGCCGTCTATTTTACAACATTTATAGGTAAATAAATAGCCGATCTGCTTTTAACTATTAACAATTTGTTTGGTGTTATATTTTTATCATATAGTATTATGTGTTTTACGAATTATAGTCAAGGTAGATATTATAAAATATGTCTATTTTTTTTAATTTTTGTTGATACTTGTTGATGCATCTAGGGGCAAAGTGGTTTTTTGTTGTGGGGCAAAGTGGACAGTGGGCCACTTTGCCCCACATATGTTAGAGCTGACAATATACATGAAATTAAATTGGAAAAAATAAATGAATCTAAAAATATACTTTTTCTTTTTCAGAAAAATAATGCTACGAAATTATAAGCGTAAGACCAAACAACATTCTTGGTCAGAAGACAATATGGCAGCAGCCATACATGATGTTAGACATGGTTTAATTAGTGCGAAAAAGGCAGCTATACAGTATCAACTTCCTCTCACGACTTTAGGAAGACGTGTTAAGTCTGAAAAAGATCCTCAAAATGCTTCTAAAAAGAAGTTAGGAAGGTTTGTAACTACTTTTTCTAGCCAACAAGAACAAGAATTGGCCAATTTTATAATTGATATGGAAAGTAGACTTTTTGGCCTAACTATTACGGAATTACGGCGACTTGCTTTTGAATATGCCGATAAAAATCGTATTCCACATAATTTTAATACCAACAAGGGTTTAGCTGGACGTGATTGGGTCTACGGATTTTTAAAAAGAAACAAATATTTCATTGAGGCTTCCAGAATACACATCACAAGCAAGAGCGTCCGCGTTTAATAAACATAATGTGTCTTCATTTTATAATTTATTGAAACAAATGCTCGAAAAATATGAATTTTCTCCTGGTAGAATCTTGTGACGAAACGGGTATTTCTACGTTGCCAAACAAACCCTCAAAAATATTGTCTTTAAAAGGAAAAAAGCAAGTTGGCAGTCTTTCGTCAGCTGAACGTGGGACCTTAACTACAGCGGAGATTTGCTATAATGCAGTTGGATTTTACATTCCTCCTTTAGTTATATTTCCTAGAGTTCGAAAATGTCTTCCACTGGAGCAGGGGTTACCTCCAGAGTCTGTAGTGGCATATCATCAATCTGGGTGGATGCAGAGTGAGATATTTTCAGATATTTGGTTCCAGCACTTTTTAAAATACACTAAACCATCAGAGGATGATCCAGTGTTGTTAATATTAGACGAGCACTCTACACATACGAAAAACTTGCAACTAGTTGAGAGTGCTAGAGCTAACCATGTGCATATAATTGTAATACCACCGCATACTTCACACCGGTTACAACCACTTGATGTTTCTTTTATGTACCCTCTAAACTCATATTATGAACAAGAAACTAGAAAATGGTTCCTTAATAACCCCGGAAAGGTTGTTACTATCTATCAAGTTGGAGAACTTTTTGGAACCGCATTTCAACGAGCGGCAACTACTCAAATTGCTGTCAATGGGTTTAAAGCAACTGGAATTGTTCCGTACAATCCAGATATATTTCCGGAAGATTTGTTTAAACCAGCAGAAGCAACAGATAAACCTATTGATCAAGAACGGCCAACCACTCCCCTACATGAAGTAGTTGATAATGCGCGAACAGTTGAAAATAGTAAATCCCCACAACCAGGGCCATCCAACGCCAGGACACCACCCCCAAAAGCTTTTAAAGAATCGCGAGAAATAATCGAAAAAGAAAATTTTGAGATGCTCTATTATTCGCCAAGTGATATATTTCCTCTACCTATTTCGAAGGAGAAAAAACAAGTGAAGAGAAAAGTTAAGAAGGGCAAAACAATGGTCTTAACGTCAACTCCAAACTATGAAGAGCTTAAAATTGCAATTTCAGAAAAACAAAAAACTCCGAAAACGAAAAAGAAAGCAGTTAAAAAGAATCTGATGGCAAAAGCTGAAAAAAGAAAATTGGACGAATCTTCATCAGATAGTTCGACCACAGTTGAGCTAAATGACACGGATGACTGATAAAATTGATTGTAAACAACTCAATGCAGGTGATTTCATTTCTTTAAATAAAAATCAATAAGCAAATATTACCACTCATAAAATTTAACCATTCATTACTTAGAGAACTTTTTATTTATATAAAAAAGTTAGTAAACAAAAAGACATGGTTGTCAAATTTAAATATTTTAAAAAACTTTTAAAGATATTCCACAATTAAAATATGTGACAATAAAATCTATTATAATAGGAGATATTCAAGTACCAGCGTTTTCTAATTTCCTCAAATTGAAAGTAGTGTAAATATAAGATGTCGATATTACAATTTACGTTTTAAGAACATGGATTTTCCGAAAGATCTTAGAACTTCGCTCTATTTGTATTATAAAATACAACTTACGTGATATATAAAATTACGTTCCAAAATTACAAATTAGATATTTTAAATTAAATAAGTTAAAATGAATTTCAGCTAATAATCTTCCGACCTTTCTACAAAAATTGTTTCGCTTTAATATTTGTTAACTGTTGTGACGAAAGATATGCTGCATAAATTGACTTATTTGGAAGATCTACATTCGTCTCACAATAATATAATAACAGAAAGGAAAAGTCTTGACCAGACATCCATTTTATCATACCTGGAAATGAGACAGTTAATTGAAGAAAGTACTTGATTGGAATATGTTTTCAAGATCCAGAATGAATTCTTTAAAAACTTTTATTTAAGTGCTAATCGATAGATTGATATATTTATCATCCACATTTTTTACAAGAATACCTACATTAAAGAAAATTACCCTAAGTTAAAATTCATTGTTTTATATAGATCTATAGATTTTAAACATTGTGGAATTGTGGCATCTGCCCATCAGGAATTCAAAAGTAATTTTGGACAATATAAAAATACAGGGTGTTTCATAATTATTGTGACAACCTGACAGGGGGGTTGTAATGAATATCAAAATAGGCAAGTTTACTTTCGAAACCCCTATCCGGAAATGAGCATTTAAATCACTGCAGCAATTAAAAATTGAGAAGAGCACAGAGTCTTCCGGTTGCAAAAGGTTCGTCTTGTTGTCGCCTTAACAAATTCAGTGCTAATGACGCCCGTGCGTTGACCTTATTATTATAGCAACGCGCATGAAGCACTGGGGCGTCACCTACGCTTTTAATTTAAACCCAGTGTTGCCAATCGGCGCATAATTATGCGATTTGCGCATAATTTAACATACCGGGTAATAATTTTCGCATCCTAAATAAAATCCCATAATTTCGCAGATTTTCATAAAATTCACAAATAATAGTCAGAGATCTATTCATGTTCGGCGCGACCAGCCTGAGAACGCGACACCTAATTAAACTCTGGTTGGGTTGGGCTTGTTCCCTCCGTGCACTCCGAGTGACTCCGTTCGCACTCCAGTCGTTCAGGTTCGGGTGAACACGCGAACACCTGCACCCGGCCATCTGGCGAACACATGGCAACATCTGGTGTCCATACGTGGCATGTAAATTATAATAACGATATACTGGCAAACACATGTTGACCATCTGGCATGTAATTTAATATCTCTGGGAATGATAACGATTTCATTTTCTCAGGCGAACATCTGGAGCCCATCTGGAGATTTTTTATACAGTCACCTGCATCCAAGCAACTCTGTTTACAGGCCTTTTATATTTTTGTTATTTTATATTGGTGGGGTGAGCCTTTCAATAGTACTTAAGCAAAATCTAAACTTGAGCAATATGAGTTACCGGTGTGTCACTCCTGAAATTCTGTTTCAGAAGACAGATAATGAGGTTAAGCTCATATACAAAACATCAACCCTTCAAGATCTCTCAGCAAATTCGTTATATTGGGCTTTTAGAGACATAAATCCGGAAATCATCGGGATACGTAATAAAAAATTTGTGATACCCCAGTTTATAACGGACCAATTAAATTTATACGCCATGGTGCAATTAAAGAAGCAAATTTATAAAAATGAACGTTAGGTGCGTCACTCCAGAGGACCCAGGATAAAGTTTCAGCAATAGAAATAATGATGAATCTTTACCTTTAAGGAATTTATTGCTAGCCGACATCGCATTTAGCTCGTCCAGATGTGTATGCTATGGGCCATATTGCCTTCAAATTAATATATCGTCGCCGGGCTACGAATACCTCCAATGTAACAAAAATATGTGAAATGTGCTAAATGCACATTGCATATCATATGACCATTCCTCAATAGTTAGTAATACATCCGAAGTGAATTTAAATCGCCAACCTTTCAAAAAAACCAAAACAAATTTCTCCAATGTACCACAATTTAGATATTAGGATGGAGAATAATCCTATGTGAAAATAATCACATAGGAGCTATTTAATTTATCTGGAAATATCTCCCATGTGGTTATATTAGATTTATAATACAACATTGGAGATATTTCTGTATGACATTTGATACACTTAAGAGATTTTACAACTAAAATGTCAAATTTCTAACCTCACTTTTAAACATTTCATTTCAAATAAACTGAGCGAGAAGTGTGTTTATTTTGCTAAAATGTTTTCGGCTAGAACTAATAAGATTTTGCTGAATGCCAGCAATATCAATAATAATAATAATAATAATAAAATTGAGATTAACAAGAAAAATAAAGAGAATGAATCTGATTTCACAATCATCGAAAATTATCGAACTTTGGAAGATGGAACTTTACTTATGGAAACTGTTATCTCTGAAGATACAGTCAGTAGGTACGTTTTCAACTAGGTATTTTTTGTTCATTTTGACAATTTTATTTTCTCGAATTTTTAGTGAAAAATATTGTAAAGATGAAAATATGAAAAATTCTGTATCGCAAACAGAATCAAGAAAAGAAATAAGCGAATGTTGCATTGAAGGCACAGAAACGGAAATTATTACAATACTACAATTAGAAAGTGAAAAGACGTTACAAGAACTAAACATAACCCAAAACGATGTTCTAAATTTGAATCAAAATAATGTACTTACACAAGACATTGAAGACAAGCCAGATAGTGAACAAATGATAGAATCAGGAAACATACATGATAATGTGGAAGAAGTGCACGAAATTATAACATATGAGATGGATGAAGAAATGAACGATGAGGAATTAGTGCAAGAAGATTTGGATGCTATAGAGATAGAAAAGTTGCAGAAAAAAGAAAATGTTACAAAGAAAAGAAGTGAAACCGCATTACGGAGATTACATGGAAAATCGTATGTTGGCTATAAAAGAAGCAAGGACAAAGTTATAACACACGATTGCAAGAGGGAAGGAAGAAAAATGAGAGAAAGGTGTAAGCATACGAATCAGAAAGACAAATTGCATGAAAATTCGTTTAGATGTCATCTCATTTCTGAAAACGATAGAAAAACTATATTCAAAAATTACTGGAAATTATCTTCATGGAATGAAAAGAGAATTTATGTTAAAGGTCTTGTTGGAACAAGACACGTGAAACGTAGACGAAAATATGTTCGTGAAAGGGACGGTGAGGAAGTTTTAAAGAAAAGTGTGGGTCATGATTATTTTTTAGTAACAGTAAGTGGACAACGTCTAAAAGTTTGTAGAGTACTATTTTTAAATACGCTCAGTCTAGGGGAAGATACGTTGAAACGTTGGACTAAGCCAGATGTTCATAGTAACACATCTGCATCAGATGAGAGTATAATAGTTAGTCCAAAGAGAAAGCTAGAAGAAAATCCTAACCTATCAGTTACAAAAAAAGCACGGTTGGCTAGAGAAATCAGAAAAAAAGAAAGAGAAGATTCTGTGAAACTATGGCTTGATGAAATACCCAAAGTTCCTTCTCATTACTGCAGGGCAACTTCAAAAATGAAGTATGTGGATAATGCTTTTATATCTAAGCAAAACATGTTCAAAATTTACAAAGAATGGTGTAGAGAAAAAGATAAAATACCTGATAATCTGAAACTATTTAAATCTGTTTTGAAATTAGAGAAAATTTCTGTTCATAAACCCCGTAAAGATCAGTGCGACACATGCGTTGGATTTAAAGTTGGAACTGTTTCTCAAAATGAATATGACCAACATCGAAATAAAGAAAAGGCAGGTAGAGTAGCAAAACAAAAAATGAAAGAAAGGACAAAGGAGCATCCTGACACGTTAGTTGTCACTTTGGATCTGCAGAGTGTCCTGACATGTCCGAAAGTATTAGCATCTCAGTCCTATTATAAAATGAAATTACAACTCCACAATTTTACGATATATGCACTGAATGACAAAAACGTCTCCTTATATGTATGGCACGAAGCTAGTGTAATGAATTTACATCTTGTTTGATAGATTATCTAAGTAATATCCCAACTAATTTCAAATCAGTTAATTTGATATCAGACGGATGTAACTACCAAAACAGAAACAAAACTTTAGCCAGTGCGTTGAGTGATTTTGCAAAAGCGAAAGATATAACCATTCAACAACTTTACTTAGAAAAGGGTCATACAATGATGGAAGCCGATTCCGTTCACTCCACCCTGGAACACTATTTTCACCCGCCAATAAACTCACCTACTGATTATATAGCGAGAATGCGTATGGCTCGTCACAAACAACCATATTGCATTAAATCATTAGACTACAAGTTTTTCAAACAATGCGAACTTGCAAGTAACTTTCGTTCAATTAGACCAGGCACAAAAACCGGTGATCCTGTGGTCGTTGATATAAGACAATTAAAATATTCACCTAGTGGAGAGGTGTGGTTTACGTTGGACTACTCTGAAGAGTGGCAAATATTGCCACATAAACGTGACTGTCAGGACATGTCAGTTTACAAAGCACCCCTGTTCAAGAAACAACCTGCAATATCTTATGAAAAGTATCAACATCTCCAAGAAATGAAGACAGTAATTGAGGTCGACCATCACTCATTTTATGACTTGCTACCCCACGAGAAGAAGAAAAATAAAAAATAAGATACACTATAACATTATTCCAAAAGTTAACGTTTATTTTATATTTAAAAATTAAAATTTATTTTTCTTAATTGTGTTCTTTCTATATACCTTCAAATTAAAATAAAAAGTGATAATAATGCAATGTAGTATGAAATATCTCCCATGTCATCTAGTCTGGATTAAGCAATACCTCTGAAGTAACACTTTTTATAATATTTTTTGATCGGATTATCATTCAACAAGATATTGAGTTCAATTTGATAAATACATTCCTTTATATTATAAATCATGAAAAAATTACAATATAACTGTAATATCTAGAGATAGAAATGTTTTTTGGCTCTCCTGTAAAATTTACTTTTTTTCACATTGAAGGTATTCACAGCCCGGCGACGATATCACCGTAAAAGATAATAAGAGTCTGGTTACCGAACTGTCAATGAACCCTCGCAAATAACAGCTCAGCTGATTGGGGTAAATGACACATCGGACGACTAGACATTTATCCGAATATGCTAGATGTTACTACAGGGTTGGACTATCTTAGATAATTATCTCTTAATCTTCACACCGTAGGTAGATCTGAACATAAGGGGTAGTTCGCTAGTATTGCTCTGGCTCTATTCTAGTAAGACTACATCTACATAAAACCCGCCTGTTATTGCAACGACGGTATCTCAGTAAGCGGACCTATATAAAAAAAAAGAAAACAACGAAACAAAGAATTATTAAAAATAGTGCAATTCTGAGGACGTCTGCTGTCTATTCTCAAGAATTGTTTAATTACAAATATTTGATGGCACGTGGCCTGTGGCCTGTTGTTTGGGCGAGACACATGTGAGGTCTACCTTATATTAAATAATCTGTACATATTTATTTATTGGAGATCAAAAGAAAAATAAATTAAGTTAAATATACTTTGAGCATTATTTCATTCACAAATTTGTACCAAACTTTGCATCGAATCCTGGTTTATTTAATTAACATTTTCACAACGTGGGTATATAAATTATCAATTAATTAACTAGACGATTACTACACTACTAGAGGAAAAGGCCATATACAGTAAGTATGAATTTCTTTGAATTTCACCAGGGGAGGGAGGTAGTTAAATTAAAATACGGGCTTTTAATAATTATCTACAAGACCGGGGGATGGGAAGTTACACTACTAAAAACATTGTGCTCTAATTTTATTAATATTTCAATAATAAAAAACAAAGACATTCATAAACTTAACACATTCGCTGCCGATAACGCGCCGGCGCGTAATACGGTACTTTCGTCGGACGCCAATCACGCCCGAGCGCGTTATTTGACTAGTGGTGTTTCTATGTGTTGTATTTAGTTGGGCATTAGCAGTGTGTTCGTGCAGTTGTGTCGGCATTATCTAAAGGGTATTGGTAAGTAATTCACGTGTTTGGTTTCGATTTTTGTTTTTTTATTTAAATTTATTATAGATTTGAACATGGCGGAAGAAAATACTGATATGCCAGGGCCCTCCCGTCCTAAAAGATCAAAAAGAGAGATGGAACGTGCTCTAACAGATGCCGAACTGCTAGATATTTTCGAGGGCGATTTGTCAGACCATGTTGATGAGGATTTTGATTCTGGGAGCGACGATGAATTTGTGCCTAATGTAAGCTCGAGTGACGAAAATTCGGAGGCAGATCCAGAGGAAAATATGGAGAGAGGGCAAGCAATATATCAAGGAGAGCCTATTTCAGAAGAGATAACCTGGGAGAGTGACTCGGACTCTATGAATTTTTTTCATTTTACCAAGACTGAAAATTTTGTGGCACCGGTTACTGGAAATGACCCTCTTGATTATTTTAGGCATATATTGACCGACAGTTTCCTTGATGAAATCGTTGCGCAAACAAACAGGTATGCAGTCGAATTATTTTTTAGGCCTGGTGTCAAGGAAAAATCTCGTATAACTTCATGGAAAGATCTGACTAGGGGTGAATTAGTAACTTTTTTGGGTTTATTACTTCACATGGGAAATATTCGGCTGAACCGCATTCAAGATTATTGGAAGACTGATTATTTGTTTGACATAGATGTATTTGCTCATAATATGAGTAGAAACCGTTTTTTAATTATACTGAGAGCCTTGCACTTTTCACAGAACCCTCAGGAAGGAGAGGCAGCGTCACCGGACCGTCTATACAAAGTAAGGAATATCGTAAACCTCTTCAACGCAAGAATGTCGGAAATTTATTACCCAGATCGTGAACTAAGTATAGACGAATCGATGGTATTATGGCGTGGTCGCCTAACTTTTCGCCAATACATAAAGAACAAGAGGCATAAATATGGTATCAAATTATATATGCTGACCACACCAGGAGGGATTGTTTTAAATTTCATGGTTTACACTGGCATGTTAGACGATTGCGGAGGAAAAGGACATGGAGAAAAAGTTGTTTTAAAATTATTAGATGGATACTTAGGAGTCGGACATAGCGTTTTTATGGATAATTACTATAATTCTTTTGAATTGGCAAAATCCCTTGCTGACAAACAAACTCACTGCACGGGAACAATGAGATCTAACAGAAAAACATTTCCAAAGGAAGTCAGAGATAAAAAATTAAAAAAAGGCGAAACATTGGCAAGCTATTCTAATGGTGTTATGATGGGAAAATGGAAAGACAAACGAGACGTCTGGTATATTTCAAATGAATATAAAAATGATATGATGGAAATTCAAACTAGAAAGAGAAGACAAGGTGGTGAATTAAAATCTAAACCGTTGCCTATTATAAATTACAACAAGTATATGTCTGGCATCGATAGGCAAGACCAAATGCTTTCTTACCACCCGTGTGAAAGAAAAACAATCAGATGGCCCTCGAAAATTTTTGTACATATTTTACAGCTTATGATGATAAATGCCCATCAATTTTACAACAAATATTCTGGCAATCGTATTCCTCTTTACGACTTTCGTTTGTCTGTCATTAAAAGTTTATTGAGGGCTCCGTCCAAACCTACGGCCACAGCGGTTATCAGCGAGCATGTTTTGAAAATACGAGAGGAGAAGAAAGGAGGAAAAATAATGAGAAAGCAATGCAAAAACTGTTATTTACAAAAAAAAAAGAAAGGATACTACTTATGTGTGCACTGTATGTCCTGGAAATCCTGGTTACTGTTTAGACTGCGCAAAAATTACTCATGAGTGACCTGTTTTATTAGGATTATTTATTTATTTGCTTACTTTACGATTTATCTCAATAGGGTTATTATTTATTTTGTATGCTTTCTGAGTTTTACCAAAAATTATATAAGTTTTTTATTTTTTTTTTCGCCCGAAAAGAAATAAATGTCGTTTATGTTTTTCTGTTGATTTGAATAGGTATTTTGTTGGTTTA